CCATGGTGACTCGTTGGTGTGATATGATTTACAAGGGCACCTAATTAGTTGAGGGTTTAACATCAGCCGCGAGAGCTAAGAACACTAGCGCCATCTATCGGTCAAAGTCAGAACTATGAAGTGGTTTTAGGGGGATTCCCAAGACATGGAGTATCGCCAGAGATTATTTTTTACGTTCGCAACACGTTTGCGACCCTGGGATAACGCAGGTGCGTTTTTCCCAAACATGTGTTTCAAAAGTTTACGGACAATATTGTCATTTTTAATAGGGCCAGATGTAAATAGTTTATGGACGAAAGAGTGCAGGGAATACCCAAGCGCTCTCTGTACGAGATACAGCACGCAGTATTCTCCACACACCATAGAATCAAGAGCTTGTAGACTAGTGTGATTGTATGTCCATTTTTTACAGAGTCTGTTCAGAAATCTTTTGTGATGGGCCACAAGTGGGGGTAAACCATACGAGTCCCAGTACTCCCCCACCCCGTGTTTGTCAATGAAAAACGATACCCAGTGTTGCCCTGGCTTGGATATGGGGTCTGTATTGCAAATGAGAAGAGCAGGGCGTTTGTGGAGGGCGCGTGGCAAAGTATCGGCAGCAAACACGCCCTCAAACAGAGGAGAGACATGTTTATCGCGGCGCATTAGAGTGTCAAGAGTAAGTCCGTCCATTTTTTAGACGTTGTAGTCTACAATGACGTTACGGTCTTTGTCAATTTCAATCAAATTCTGAAATTCTGCGTAAACCACGCAATTTATAGCAACGGGGAGTGGTTCAGCAAACCGAAGATCGAGACGCAGTGATCCGTGTCTCTGCACGTTCCAATGTGGTTGGCTAGCCGAGAGATCAGGTGTCAGATCGAAAGCATAGAGGGTCGTGCCTTTAGCAAAGTCGCCACAGCTGATATTGTTCCCGTCATCTTTCCAATGAATACCCGTACCACTGAAGAGGGTGTTGTAGGCCTCAACATAGAGATCATTAGAAAAATCTGGTGACTGGTTGTGATGGCACATTTTCTCCATCTTTCTTCAATTGCAGGTGATTGAGTTTAAAATGTTGAAAAGTGAACGGATTGAGTTTATAATCTCCATTAAACGCACTGTTGTCAGTTAGACCTAGAAGACTCCTCGTTGGCATTTGATTAAGAAAGAGGTTATCTACTGTTTTGTCTCTCAAGCCCTGGGCGATCGTTACGGTTTTAAATCGACTCGCGTAAGTGGATACTTGGCGTGAGCCTTTTCGAAAACTTTGGCGTGTGCAAGCAGCACAGAGGGAGAAATGGTGACCTTACGAACGACAAGTTTGAGGTCCAAGAGCTTAAGTTTTTCTGTGCCCTTAGTTGACATGAGAACAAATGCGTCACGACTTCGAGTGAGTTTCACCCTCAACGTAACATTGTTAAGAAGTAGGCGGTCTGAGTTGGCTATGTCGATGTGGAGGGGGCCATACATTTCAAACACTTTGCTGTTTTTAGTCCGCGAACGGCGCCATGCGAGACCCATATTTTCGCCCACGGTAAGTGAGTCAAAGTAACCGGGTGTGTCATCGTACCAGAGTCGTTGTTGCATATGCGATTCTTTGGCATGTTTGTTGTAGTTGAGTTTTGCCTCAATGTATGCCCGATATGGGTAAGTCATACTAGACTGAGAGATGACAGTTCCATTAAGATTGGCGTCTATTTGAGACCACAT